TTGTTGCCATCATCATTCTCAAAACATTTGCCTTCTACTTGAGCCCTTAATATTGGCTCCTCACTTTTCCCCCTCCCTCCCCAGTCCTCCTCCCTCATGAACCCTTCATAATTCATAAATTATTATTATTTTGTCATATGTTACACTGTCCGACGTCTCCCCTCGCCCTCTTCTCTGCTGTCCATCCCCCAGGGAGGAGGCTATACGTTAACTTTCCTCTAGTTCTTAAGTGCTTCTTCCCCTCCACTATCGTGATCCCAATTCTACCTTGCAAATCTGACTAGACCCGAGGATGTACATTGGTACAAATAGCAACTAGAAACACAGGGAATCCAGGACAGATGACCCCTCCAGGACCAGTGGTGAGAGTGGCAATTCCTGGAGAGTGGAGGGAATGTGGGTGGAAAGGGGAATGTAAGCTCTTAAGCACCACTTAGGGAAACTGAGCTTACCTGGTAGGACCACCGCATCACAACCCTGTAAAGCATTGATGTGTCCATTGTGCAATTACAGATTTCTTCTTGGAGGCTATAGGTGCAACAAAAGGAAACCAGGAGAGTTCTAGTTAATGATTGTCACCTGATCACATGGAGAGAAGAGATCTTTACAACGGTGGTAGTTAGATAAATTTCTGTCAACTTGAAGATGTATGTAAATGTAGGAATAGAGTCAACCTGTCCATCAAGTCTCAGCCTGATAACTCCTTGATTGTATAAGAATGCGAGACACTGGGAACTGCTCTCTCTCCCTTTCTTCCCTCACCTTCCTGCTTACGGGCCATCCCGAGAGTGGCTGGAGCCCTGCCATGTTTCCACTGACCTTGGATCCACACAACTCTGCATCCACTGGCCCGTGACCCTCCCGAATCCTCCTTCAGTGCATGTGGCTGTGTGAGTCTGAAGAGGGACTTATGGACTAGTATGGGACTTATGCACTTGAGTTGGACTGGGCCGGGACACTTTACTTCTTGATATAAAGGTCTTTCTTATACATATATGAGTGTCACTGGATTTGTTTCTCTAGTCAACATGACCTAACTCAACAACTATCAGTAAAAATATATCAGAAAGAAAAAACATCGCAGCAAGGAAGGCCCTGGACATCTCTGGATCCCATCAAGGTATACTCTGGCCATCCCTGCCTCCCAGCAAGGAAGGCCCTGGGTATTCCCTTGACCCAGCAAAGAAGGCCCTGCTTGCCCCCTGTCAAGGATTAGAAAACAAGACCCATTAATATGTAGACTACAAGAGACACACTTTAGACACAAAGAAAAAAAGACTATAAATCACAGGATGGAGCAAACATTTCTAAGCTAAATGCAACCCCCCCGACCCCGTCTCCAAAAATTAAAACAACAACAACCAGGAGTGGTAATGTTAATTTCTGATAAAATAATGATCAAAGGAAGAGTAGAACGAGAATACATAACCATGTTAAACATTTAGACTTCAGATGAAAGACCCTTAAAAATACATTCACAAACTTATAAGAGTAGAAAAGAGAAATAGGCAGATGGGCAATAATTATAGGAGAGATCAATGCACCACTCTAATGGAAAGCAAGATCATCAGGAAAAACCATCAATAACGATGCAGAAGAACTAAACAACATAACCAGCCTTTTCAACCTCCTAGACACAGAGAACATCCCATGATAGCACAGTATATGTTGTTTTACCACATACATGGAATATTCTGCAGACTAGACCATGCTATGCCACAGAGCAAGCCTTAATAAGTCTTACAACATTGAGATATTCTGATCCATTTTCTCAGATGACAATACTATAAAACTAGAAATCAACAATAGAAAGAACAAGGACAAAAATCCAATTGCATGGAAACTGAACAACATACTACTTTAAAATGACCAGGTAATAGATCAAAGAAGGAACAAAAAATTTTAATTCCTTGAAATAATTCCTTGAAAAATTTAATTCCTTGAAATAATTTTAATTCCTTGAAATAATTTGGTAGGACACATCATACCAAAACCTTTGGGACACAGCAAAAGCAATCATCAGAGGACAATTTATAGCAGTCAACACATATTTGAAAAAAATAAGAAATCAAGGACTTAACAACTAGAACAAGAGCAACAAAGTAAAACCTCAATCAATAGGAGAAAATAAGTCAAAAGATTAAAACAGAAATAAATGGACTGGAAAATTGGAGACTAATGGGGGGGAAATCAACAAGACAAGATGTTGATTCTTTGGAAAGACGAACAACATGATAAACCACTGGCAACTGTAACAAAAGAAAAGAAAGAAGATACCAATATCAAGAATTAGAGATGAACCCTACTACCACTACCACTATGAAACCAACACTACTATCAAACACACTACTGTAACTTCAAGTTTGAAATCTAGATAAAAATCTATTCATTTCTAGAAAAACACCATCTACCCAAATTAATTCAAACTGACACAGAAAACCACAACAGACATGGAACAAAAGAAGAAAACGAGCAGATCATTAAAAAAACTTCCAACCAAAAGAAGTCCAGGGTCAAATGGCTTCATAGAGCAATTCTACCAAGTATGTAAAGAAAAGTTATCACCAAGTCTAAAGAGGCTATTCCAGAGTATAGAAAATGACAGCAAACCCCTGAAATCATTTTGGGAAATAAGTATAACCCTGATAGCCAAGCCAGACAAAGAGACCACAAAGACAGACAACTACAGACCAACTATGATGAACTATGTTCATCCTTTATGAACATAGACGCAAAAATGATCATCAATAGCCTGGTCAAGAGAATCATAAAATAATACACCATGATCAAGTGGGATTCATACCAGGTACAAAAGGAGGGTTCAATATTAGAAAAACCATCAACGTAATCCATCATATAAACAAAACAAAAAATAAGAATCATATTATCATATCAATCTATGCAGAAAAGTCATTTGACAATATCCAAGACCCAATCCCCATAAGAACGCTCAACAAAATAGCATTAGAAGGAATATTACCAACACAAGAAAGGCCATATATGAAAAATTAACAGCAGTATCTTACTCAA